GGCACAGAGAGCCCTGTACTCCACTGCCATGGAATCCATCCAGGGAGAGGCCAGGAGAGGGGGAACCATCGAGACTGATGACCAGTGAGCACTGGGAGTCACTGGGATGGACTGGGACTGACTGGGAGGCACTGGGAGTGACTGGGAGTGACTGGGAGTGACTGGGAGTGACTGGGATCGGGGTGGCACAGAGAGCCCTGTTCTCCACTGCCATGGAATCCATCCAGGGAGAGGCCAGGAGAGGGGGAACCATCGAGACTGATGACCAGTGAGCACTGGGATGGACTGGGAGTTACTGGGAGTTACTGCAGTGGACCGGGATCCCCCTGTTCCCATTCCTGATCCCATTCCCATCCCATCCTTGACCCTATTCCCAATCCCATTCCTGATCCCAACCCCATCCCTGACCCCATTCCCGTTCCCGATCCTGTTCCCATCCCATTCCCTTCCCATCCCATTCCCCTTCCCGATCCCATTCCCATTCCCCATCCCCATTTCCGTTCCCATTCCCATCCCATTCCCATCCTGATCCCATTCCCATTCCCCATTCCCATTCCCCATTCCCATTCCCCATTCTCATTTCCCATCCCATTTCCCATCCCATTCCCAATCCCGTTCCCATCCCAATCCCGTTCCCATCCCAATCCCATTCCCGATCCCATTCCCATTCCCATCCCATTCCCATTCCCATCCCATTCCCATCCCATTTCCGTTCCCATTCCCGATCCCATTCCCATCCCATTCCCGTTCCCATTCCAATCCATTCCCGTTTCTTTTCCCAGGATGGGTGGAATTCCCGCCCGGAACGCGCGGGGGGAGCGGCTGCTGCTCTACATCGGCATCATCGACGTCCTGCAGTCCTACAGGTGACTCATTCATCCATTAATCCATTAATCACTAATTAATCCCTTAATTACCATGAATCCCTGATCATTTTATGGGGATTTTCTGGGGATTTTTTGGGAATTTCTTGGGAATTCGGCTCCGTTCTTTCCCCACAGGTTCGTCAAGAAGCTCGAGCACTCCTGGAAGGCCCTGGTGCATGATGGGGTGAGTGGGGAAAATGGGGATTTTTATGGATAAATGGGAATTTTTATGGAAAAATGGGAATTTTTTAGAGAAATAATGTGATTTTTTTTGAGAAAATGGGATTTCTTATGGAAAAAAATGTAATTTTTTAAAGGAAAATGGGACTTTTTAATGGAAAAACCAGGGTTTTTTAAGGAAAAACGGATTTTTTTCATGGGAAAATCTTTTTTTATGGCGGAAAGAGACTTTTTAATGGGAAAACGAGACTTTTATGGGAAAGTGCCTTTTTTATGGGAATTTGGCCCTGAATTCTCAGGATTTGTGCCCAAATTCCCAGGATTTCTATCCAAACCTCCTCCCAAAACCACCTCTCTACCGATTTTCCCTGAATTCTTGGGATTTCCACCCAAATTCCAGGGATTTCCCTCCAAATTCCCATCATTTCCCCTCAAATTCCTGGGATTTCTCCCCACCCCTTTCTCCTCCCCCTCCTCCCCTCCCGGAATTCCCGGAATTCCCAGGATTTTGGGGTTAAATCCCATTTTTTCCCTGTTCCAGGACACGGTGTCGGTGCACCGGCCCAGTTTCTACGCCGAGCGCTTCCAACGCTTCATGTGCCACACGGTGTTCCGCAAAATCCCACGTGAGTGCCCCAAAATTCCCA